ATGACTCGAGCTGGGTTCTTGTGGTTTATGATGTCACCGGGACCCATCGATGGAGCCGTAGCCCCATAATTCACCGCTGCCCTGTTATTTATTCTGTGCCATAAATGGCTGCAGTTTAATCACCAGAGTAAATTGCTGAAGCATCTTTGTGGAAACTGTGATGTTACTGTAGCAGTAACTATGGCAACAGCCATTCCACCCTGGTGGCTGATGCAGAGGGAACCAGTAACTCTGTGCACCCAGGGAGACAGGAGCGAGCACCACCCTCAGGGAGGGGAACCTGAGGGACAGGTCCAGACACGCTCTCAGTGGAGAAAAATCCATTCATTGCTGCTCAGGTACATGCACTGCGTGTCATTTGTAGCCTCTGTGAAATTGGGATGTGGATCCAGACATCACCAACCTTGACAGACTTCTGGCATTGATTTCATGCAAAGACATTTTTAGGATAAACTCCTGACTCCTCGGAGGGGATGGGAAGCGAAGCCATCTTTTCTGTACATCTTTTGGTTTCTTTTATTTTTCCTTTTCTAGTTCAGGTAGAAAGAAAAAGGACTGAGGACACTTGAACCAAATGGTTCAGCACTTCATACAGCTCAGGTTTATGTTTGGGTTTTGTATGGACAAGAGAAGCAGGAAATTCATCTGCACTGTCCTAATTCTTCTTGTCTTGTGGCCTTGTATCCCTCTGCTTACAAGGCCTTGTAGGATCTTGGATTTTAGTGGTGGTGGGGCATAATGTACCTTGATGGTACATAAAGTTCCTCAGTTCTTTCTGGCAAAGTACATTTGCCAACCTATTTAATGTCATCTGGAGATGCCTGGTGGTTGTGGATGCTCAGCTGGCATTGGAGAAAGCACAGGGCTGTGATGTAGTATCATAATAGAACATTATTATAACATAAATATTATTTATTGTTTCTTACTGAAGTGAGATTTTCGAGAAGGTTTTGCATTCCAAATCTAAAGTTCCCATTCAAGCCCCAGATTTTGTAGAATCCTCCCCCCCCCCAAAAAAAAAAACAAAAAAACACCTCTAACTAAAATCTCTTTTTTTTCCTGATTTTAAGTAAAAAGCAAGACGCTTCTCAAATATATCTATGTCTCCCTTCCTTTCTACTTTACTTCCTTCCACTTTCTACATTTGTTAATTTTTCTCCTTGGGAAAGAAATGAGGAGAAAACCCACTCTCTGTCCATCCTCTTTCAATACCCTGTGAATGTTTGCAGCGCTCAGCTCTTTTTTTCCCCTCACTTCCTCTGCTGAGCAGCCCTAGAGAAGTCCCACAGCCCATGCTATCAGTGCCCTGACAGTCTACTGCTTGTGGGAAATGTCATTTTACAATGTAACTGATTTTTTTTTTAACTAAAGGTTTATGATTTTCTACAAGGATCTATTGTTTTAAGCCACGTAGCCAACATGTGTTTTCTTGAGGTATCACTTACCTTTTAAGCAAGTAGCAGTTGAGTTTTGGTCAAGCCAGGCTTGGCTGTCTCTGGATTCCTACAATTATTCTGTCCTGGTAACCTGAGACAGCCCAGGGAGGGAAGAACAGAAAGAAAAGCCTTTTAATTTATGGTGGGTCTCAGTTCTAATCTTGTAGTTGCGTAGACTTCGACTTTGCCCTGAATCATTTTTAATGACAGTTGAAGAGAAAAGAATTGAAAAGCAAATCTTACCTTTCTCATCACTGACAGCTTCTCATAACAAATCAGACTGTTTTATGGCACGGCCTTGCAGTGTGGGCATGATGCACGTGAAGGGCTGTCCAGCAGGAGAGCAGAGCCTTTTCCTGCCTAGCACGAGATAGATCTTTGCAGCAGCAGCTTCAGACCTGCCTGTGAGCAGCAGCTTTTCAGCTTGTGGAGTCCTGAATGTTGTTCACGGAACCTCTCATAAGGAAAATTGTGTTTCCTCATAAGAAACTTGGTATTCTTGGTCACCTTTTAGAAGGTCTTTAGAAGTTCTCCAGGAATGTGCCTGGAAAAAGGGGTGAAAAAAGTTGATGTCAAAGACCTCATGGATTTGAATGTAGCCAGAATATTCCTCCTCCCCTCCAGTGAGCCTGGTGACATCTGCATGTAAAAAGAGATCACTGGGGAGGCTTGGGGGTCACCAGTTACAGTGTTTGGACAACGCTCTCGGGGACATAGTGGGATTGTTGGAGTGTCTGTGCAGGGCCAGGAGTTGGAGTCAATGGTCCTTGTGGGTCCCTTCCAGTTCAGGTTGTTCTATGACTCTATTTGCTTTGGAGTCCACACTGTTGGTCAGAAAAGAAAACAATCTGCAGAAATTGCTGGTTTGGTGGTTTGATCCCCATATGGGCTATTCACTTTGGAGCTGGACTCGATCCTCGTGGGTCCCTTCCAGCTCAGAATATTCCGTGATTCTCTGTGATCTTGCCAAGAGACCCGATTTAAAGGGTCACCCTCCCTCAGCAGAGCCCATGGCTGTGCACTCAGTGATCAAAAGGCAGGAGTTTATTGCTGATCCCCCGAGCGGGGCAGGAGAAGGCACAGCCAGAGCTGCTGCTGTGGTGCCCAGTGGAGTTAACAGGGAGAGGCTCTCACTGTAATTGGATACTGGCAGTATCCTGCTATGCATCTACAGGGCAACTTCCCATCAGCACTAATGTGGCTTTCTGAAAGCTCCTCTCTTTTCCTGGCATGGTCACTCCTCACTGGTGCTTTTGGGAACTCCCCTACCTTTTGTGAGCTTGGCCCGCCAGGTCTCTGGGCTGCCGTGCTCTGGGTGTGTCACTGGCCATGGCATGACCCTGTGCCAGGATGAAGCTTTTCTGTGCTGCTGAAACAAAGCCAAGACATTTCTTGGAGCCCAGAGGAGCAAGGAGATGCCCTGCATAGCACGAATCCCACATCACCATGGACTTTGCTTGGCTTCTGCCATTCTTGTGTTTCCTCCACGACCTCCAACTTCTTCCTGTATGGAGACATGATTCCAACTTAGGTTGGCTACACACTGTGTTCCTTCTGACACATTTTGACAAATAGGGTTTGATTTTACCCTGGAGGTCTTTCCAGGCTTAATTTTATGATTGTGGAAGGTCATCAAAAGGGTAGTGCTATTTAAAGACCAAATCGTGTCACATTTACTCACGGGACTAATGCTCTTTTTCTTGAAGATGTCCATTCATTTCAGTGGAACTGTACATGGACTAAATGGCACCAGTTGTAAGCAGAGGCACTGGAGCCTGTCTTACTCATCTCAATGGACTACTCAGAGAGTGAAAGTCAAGTCATCGTCCTTGCTATTGATTTTCCAGCGCCTTTTATTACGAGGTGGCTTTCTGGACCCGTCTAGTGACTGCCCACATGGGGATTTATGAGTGAGATCCAACCTTTTTGCAATCAGAAACAGCCACTTCCACCCCAAGAGTAACTGGCTTAAATTTTAGAAGTGGCATTTAAAATCCTGAGTTTGTTCCCCTTTGCTCACAACACTCTCAGGAGCGTCGCATTTCCAACTTGGTGGATTATATTTCCAACCTGGTGGGGCTTCTTATGGCAGTGGGAACTGCTCACAGTGGTTAAGGGTGAGGCAATTCATACTGATGGTAATGTGGTGGCACAGCCCTGGTTATACTCCCATAGTCCAAAGGTTCATGTTCCTTGATGGAAGCTGGATGTTCTTGAGGTTACTGCTACAGTACCAAAGGAGGAGCCCTGAGTTCACTCAGAGAATCATTTAGGTTGGAAAAGCCCTCTGAGGTCATTGAGTCCAAACATTCCCCCAGCACTGCCAGGCCCATCACTAACCCATGTCCTCAAGAGCCACATCCACAGGGCTTTGGAGCACTTCCAGGGATGGGAACTCCACCACTTCCCTGGCTATCCTGTGCCGCTGCCTGAGCACCCTTTCCACGAAGAAATTTTCCCTGATATCCGATCCAAATTTCCCCTGGCACAGCTTGAGGCCATTTCCCCTCATCCAGTCCCTTGTTCACTGGGAGCAGAGCCTGACCCCCACCTGGCTCCACCCTCCTTCCATGGGGGTTGCAGAGCCAGAAGGTCCCCCCTGAGCCTCCTTTTCCCCAGGCTGAGCCCCCCCAGCTCCCTCAGCTGCTCCTCCGTGACTCACAATGTATGACCTACTGAACTACAGTGAAACCTGGGGGGAGACTTGGAGTTGATACTTAAAAGGTATTTTTCAAAGCCTTTCTCTTTCTTATCCTTCTTGTACTACTGGAACTGCAAAAGGAATCTCATTTAAAATATGAATTAGAAATTTTATACTTCTTATGGCTCTGTGTTCTTGGGAAGCTGATACTCATCACTTGCCTGTTTTCTTGGGGGAGTGTGCAATGAGCTTTTGGAACAGGTTTCCTACTTTTTGGCTAATGAGGAGTGGGACAATTATTTATTCCAAGAAGCTGGATCAAGGTTGACAGCCTGGGGGTAGACCTGAAAGAACAGTAACACTTTAGACTTTAGTTGCTCTGAGATCCTTCAGAAACAACTGCCTTGATCTTTTAGTGCTCTGGTAAATCATTTATTCTGATCACCTACTTGCAAATTCCCTCTCACCCATCCAATGGGATGGAAGGAGCTGGGTATGGAGCTGCTGGCCATAACCCAGCAGGTGAACTGCAACAGTGCAGAGCTTCAGCGGGGCTTCTAGAGCACCTGGCAAAGCCCCTGGGTTGGGAGCAGCACCAGAAATTCAAATTCCTCTGACAAACAGGGTGTCTGGAGCTGGAGGTTTTGGATAGGATTTTTCCCCTCTCAGGTTGCAGGCAGGACACATGCTGTTGAACACACTGCATCCCCTCTGCCTCTCCCTCCTCCCACACTGTGCCTTGGTGCTCCCTGACAATCTGTTTCAATTCCCCTTCCCTTCAGCACGACCAAGGGTCCCCCAGGTTACCCAGTGATTCATCTCTCTGGAATTTGGGAGTGCTGCTTCTCTGCTCCTACCCACACTGGCAAGGGGCTTATTAAAGCATCAGAGATTACCCAGAACCTCTTCTGGTGGACATTTAGTTGAAGAGCACTTGATGCCAGACGTTATTTTACATGTGTGTTCTGACACCAGACTTCACTACTGCGCCTCACCTTTCTCTGTGTGCGTGGGTTTGAACACCTTTGCCAACTACAACCCTATGAGAGGATCCCTGCTGCTTTGGGAATGTACACTGGGAATGACTTCAAGTGGAAGCGTGTTTGGATTGTCCTATTTCTATTTCTGAAGGCCTCTCAAGGGAGCTCGCTCTCTCTTCTCACCCCATCGCTTCCGATGGGGCCGAGTCATCGCATTCCGTGTGCGCACAGTGACACCTCAGAGAGACTTGGACTGTTCTCTTGTCTCACTTCCACTCTCTTCCAGGCTGGATGCACACCCTGGAGGTATGTGGTTTGTCTCAAGATATAAGACTTCCCCCCCTCAGAAACTGCATTACTTCAACAAGCCACAAAGGGCTGGCAAGAGGGAGAAGGATGCTCTTGTTAGCGCAGCTTTCCTGGGAGATCTCCTCTGTGGGCTCCATGCAGCTGGAAACAGCCTCTCCCTCTCCTGAGCTCGCGTGCGTGGGCAGGCACACGTTCCCTCATGCAGCAGTTGCGCTGATGTGTGAGTACAGACACAAACACTCGCTTACAGCTGCACAAATACCTTCCCTTTGTTGCCCTCGTGCGTGCGTGTAGAGGTGGAAATTCTCTGAGTGACCGTCACCCCCTGCAAACTCCAACCTGCCCTTTATGCAGGTGCCCCAAGAGCACATGCACCCTTCCCCTGCATGCACAGGTACAGGTGAATCTCCACAGCCTGCAAAGGTGTTGCAGGATTTGGAGGGAGACATGAGCAAACTGAACCTGAAGGCACCTCTTGAGGTTTAATCCAACCAGTGTTCCAAGCAGGCTCCCCCTGAGCTCAGAAAAGGTTTCTCAGGGCTGTGTCCAGTCAGGTGTTTAAAACCTCCTGAGTCAGAGATGCGATAGTCCTTTTTTTTTAACCTTATACCCAGGCAGAACCTTCACTCCTTAAATGTTTGTCCTTTCTTTTGACCTTCAATGTGTCTTTTGCTCTCCCTGCCACACACCTGAGCTGGAATTGGAGTGATAACAAAATACTCAATACAAACCCCAAACCCTGAGCTTTGCTTCTTTGCAGTCTGTGCTCAGTTTTAGGAGATCTGAGAACCTGAGCAGTTCCAGGAGATCACAGTGGCTGACCCAGCTTTGGGAGAACAGGATGGATCAGATGACCTACCAGATCTCCTTCATGTCTTATATTTCTGTGATATGGCCATTTGTGCTCCTTTTTTTTTCTTTTTTGGCCTTGGAGATCCACTGAACACTTTCCCTTTCCTGTGTTTGGAGGGATTCAGCCATTTGAAATCCTCCTTTTCCAGTGGCCAGTGTCCACACTGGTCACAACCACAACTGCCTAAATCACAGGTTTAAAATCTTGAAGTAGTTAATTTGGGGAAGAATCTCAGACTCCCTGGAGGCTCCTACTTATCTGTTACCTTGTGAGACATGTGCTGAAGGGGAAAGGGTATTTTTTTTTCAGCTTATTTTCAGATCCCAGCAGGGAGAAACCCTGTTCATACACTTTCCAAATTAAAGCAGAAATAAATCCTGAGCAGAGCCCTTCAGGTGCATGGGAAAAATGGAAATACAACTGCAAGGTTTCATTTGAGAAAAAAATATCTGAAGGAATCTTTCACTTTTTCCACCCTTTTCCCTTTTTTTTGCAGTCAAAAGTATCTTCTAAATTTTGCAAATGTTATTGGATAACCCAAATCTGGCTAATCCAGTATTCTGGTGACTAAAATATGAGGCTAAAAAGTTCACCCAGCATCAGGCTGTGTTCTGTTTGTGAGGCTGATTTCACGTAACAGCAACTGTGGTGAAATCACCTGCCAGGTGGGCATTAAGTGATGTGACCTTGTGACTGTCACAGCCAGCTCAGTTTCAAACCAGGAGAAAATCTGGAGCAGGGTGTATTTTCTGGGGAGGTGTTTCTTTCTCACTGTAGTTCTTATCTTTTAGGTGGGGATCACGGTCAAGGCTGAAGACCTGGCTACTCCCCTTCGCCTCATTTTTGTGATTTATTTATTTTTCTTTGCCATAGATCAGCCTCTTGGTGAGATGACTTCAGCCAGGAACTCTCCACCACTGCTGAAGGATCTAAAGGGTAAAGACTCTGATCTGTCCCCAAAAAAGCAGGAAGCACAGCCATGGATGAGGTAAGCACAGCAGCCTGAAATGGCTTTGAGTTGTTTTATGCAGTGCAGGGACCACCAGTGTGTAGAAGTACGTGTTGTACTGGTGGTGAACCAGCAGATCATGGAATGGTGACCTGGGAATACTTTCAGACATGGACAGGTGTGGATATGGATTTATGTACATCTGTTTTACCTACCTAAGGCTCAGAGCTGGGGAGACTGATTATGGGTTTGCTCAAGACCAGTATTTGATGGAATGACTTCAGACTGATAATATATTAATAGAAAATAGCAATTGAGATCTATCATGTATTTCCAAAGACGCTTACTTTTAAGACTTTAGTAACAATTATTTGTGAACTGTCTTTAAATTCACACAAATGTGAACACCCATCTCTGTTTATGTTCCCGTGTGCACCCCCAGTGGGAAGTGTTCGAGGACATCGTGCACATGTGAGGAGGGATTTCTTACTTGGTGTGGACATCCTTCCACTCAGGCAGTGCCAGGGAGATGTTCATAGAATCACAGAATGGTTTGAGTGGGAAGGGACCTTGAAGTTCATCCAGTCCCACCCCTACCATGTGCAGGGACATCTTCCACCAGCCCAGGGTGCTCCAAGCCCCATCCAGCCTGGCCTTGGACACTTCCAGGGATGGGGCAGCCACAGCTGCTCTGGGCAACCTGTGCCAGGGCCTCACCACCCTCACAGCCAAGAATTCCTTCCCAGTGGTCCATCTAACCCTGCCCTCTGAAGGTGGGAAGCCATTCTCCCTTGTCCTTTCATTCCAATCTCCTGTAAAAAGTCTCTCTCCAAACTTCTTGTAGGCTCCCTTTAGGTACTGGAAGGCTGCTATAAAGTCTTCCCACAGCCTTCTCTGGGCTGAAAACGCTGTCCATGTTCATGGACAGGGTTGCAGATTGTGTTCACCTATGTCAGGATGTGCCTCTGTCATTGCACAGCTCCTCCAAACTGTCACACGGGTGCATTTTAGGACAGAAGGAGCACTGGTTAATTCAGGAAGTGACACATGCTTTTATATTCGGGGGCCAAATCCAGATTTTCCTGCTGAAGCCAAAAGTATAAGCAACACAATCCCATGAGCACGTTGCCTCTGAGTGACAGTTTGAGTGCAGGGGGGTGACTGGGTTTGGCTGAGCTCTCTATTGCTCTGAAAAGAGCAGTCGATGCCCTTGACTAGCGAGCGATGCCAAGTGCCACATGTGCGATAGTGGCCAGGGGCCTGGTCACTGTGCCCAGCCAGTCCCTGTGGATTCAGGTCTGGCCAGTAGCAGCCATGCTGCTTGGGAGACAAGTTTCTGTATGAAATTCTTCTCCAGTGGAAGGTATCCCTGCCTCTGGCAGGGGGGTTAGAACGAGATGAGCTTTAACCCAAACCACCCTGTGATTCTGTGTAATTTGTGTCGCTTCCCTGTAGGTACTAAAGGGTTAAAACCCTCCTCTGTCTCAGATACAGAGCAGGGAGTAAAAAACTGTGACCCTGCAGGTTCCCAGGTTGCTGTTTCTGTGTGTGGATCTGGGTGTAGGGTGGGTTGTCCTGCTGTTGGCAGGGGTGAATATGTGGGAGAGCAGAGCCTGGTCACACGTCTGTGTCGGTGCAGCTGTTGATGAGCACGGGGGTGTTTGTGTCGGCGCTGTCTGGGGCAGGAGGTGCATGTGCTGTGTGTTATTCTCACATCCTTGCTAGCAGCAAACAATGTCACGTCCCTACCTGGACTGCAAGGTGACACGCACCTCAAAAACAGCAGCGACAACAAGCTCCAGAGCCGTGGCAGAAAGCAGAGCTGCTCTTTTTTGCTCATCAGCCAGGAAACCCTGCCAGCCCCGGCAAAGCATGCCGGGACCCAAACCAGCTTTTGGGCTGGGGCTCGGGGGTGGGGGCAGCGAAAGAGAAGCAGTAATTTGTTTGCCATCGCCCTGGAGCCAGGAAATCCAAACCCCAAGCATTTCCCAGGCCACAGCACATGGGAGTTGCAGGAGAGTGTCAGCGAGTGGCTCCCAGGAGCGCACCCACCCGCGCACACACGCGCCCGCACACGCACGGGCAAGGGGCTCCGCTCCGGCACCACCGCCCTGAGATGCTGAGACAATATCGAGTTTTCAGGCCATAGCTGTCAGGATGCTTCGGTATATTCATCACCCCCCACTCCATGGTGATAAAAATTTACACAGCCAACGAAACGAAGATTAATTTCATGTGAAAAGCTGACAGAATGGCCCATGTCATTGCTTTATTTGTGCCAGCACTCAGTAACTCGGCGCAAGTTCCATTGAGGTGGCAGACACCCTGTCCCCTTGAGCCATCTCGTCTCCTCTCTAATGATGCCACCGTTTTGACAAAACCAAGCAACACAGCCGGTATGTGCGAATTTGGAATTAATTTTCCTCAGAAAGGTCAAGTATGTTAATGAGCTTTTGGCTGCCTGCGTTTTCTCCCTTGTGCTTCTTCCCCGTTAATGGGGGGAAGGGGGGGGGGGAAAGAAGGGGGAGAAATAATTACAGAAATAAAAAACGAAGGAAGGAGGAAAAGAAAGAAGCTGTGAGGATTTGGAAGAGGCAGGATTCAGCGTGGTTTTTCAGGGCCTCTCCTTTTGCAGGACTGAGGCGGGCTAATTGTATCAGCGCAAGTCCGTGCAGTTTGCTTGGAGCTGTTGAGCGGGGCCAGGGATGTCATGGATAGCAGAGTTGGTGTAACCTGGCACGGAGGGGGTGAATTGCACCTCCTTTGCACTCAGGGAATGAAGGCAGCCCTGTGTGTTGGCAGCTGCCTTCGTTTTCCGTCACAGAATGGCTGAGCTCGGCTCAACGCGGGGCTCTGGCGCTGAGGGAGCAGAGAGCGAGGGAAGGTGAAGGAGAGAAGGAGTTCACGGGCTCCAGCTCTTGTGCCCATTATGAGAGGAAGCTGAAAGAAAGCTC